CTCAGCGCGAGACACGCAGTGTTCCCAGCTCCCCGAGTCGGGAGAGCAACGTCCGGACCGACTCCGTCCCGCACCTGCCCAAAATACAGCACTAACATGGCTCACATACGCTCCAAACTGGGCTATATCGGCGACAATCGGTTCAAAGGTCCTCAAGTCCTTCGAAATGTCATGATATCCTTCGAGAGCAAATTTTTCCTTTGCCATAACGAACACTTCACATTTCGGCGTTTTGCCTTCACGTTTGGCATCATGCATTGACTGAGCAACACCGATGACACATCGTCGGTGCAGTGTGCTGTTTGTTTAAATTTGTTCATTTAATTTGTGAAATATGAGTTGGAGAGTGCACGGTATTTCCTGCCCACGGCTTGTTCGTGTTGGATTGGGTGCTAGGTGTCATGCTGCGATTCGCTGAAATCCACAGTAAACGTTTCATACAGCAATTTTATTGCTGTTAATATTGGCAGCTGTTGTTACATCAAAACATGATTTATTAACATCGATTAAGCGCCAGCATAAAAACTATCCTCCAGTCAAAACGGAGCAACACTTCACTGACGACCGGCTACCAATTCCATTAGAACCACACGGCGGAAATTAGCTGGCCATAAAACGTTGGACATCGACGTGGAGGCACCAATTGGTGCTATATCGGTCCAAACTTCAAATTACTTCGCGATCGAGTGACCTTGGAACTTCAGGGTCCGCTGCTGCACTTACAGCACCAGCCCCTAGCACCGTGATTCGGCCACGTATATGCACTCACACAGGTGACCCTTTTCGCTGTGGCTAACCACATATAACTTTGTGGTCGGTACTCGACTTGTTCTGCTCTCCTGCCGTTGGTGTACTTTGCTGGTTGTCATAATATCGTGCATTGTTCAGATTGACTTGTGCGCGCCATTCTTCGTTCGATTGGTGCGGTGTTCAGGTCGACAGGTGTCGGCTAGCGCCTTGCCTCCCCGATGGTTTGCCTGATCGATATAATATTACCACACTGCTGTTTCTCACAGTTGACGCCAGTGTTTGTCTCACATGTCACGTGACTAGCCCTATGAACGGTCCGTCAACTCTGACCGTGTCGAGTGTTATCTCTGCCTGGCGAGTGCGTCACTCCTCCCGGTCCGCGCCTTGTGTTCCCCTGACGAGTGACCTGTCCCGGCGTCCCGTGTCGCTCAGTTCTGTGCCCAACTCGGCCTCTTCCCCGCTGCAACTGCCGCCGATTGCCATTGGCGCCGCCTCGCCCGAGCCCACCGAGGCCGACCGCCTGGAGATGCGGCAGAACCTGCGCGGCATCAACTCGGTCCTCGGAAGGTACGCTAAATGGGCAGTCGGCTGATTTGGTATACATAGGTATAAAGTATACAGTAACAGAGAAATCGTTTTTGTTTTGTCACTATCAAAAAGGATCTCCATGTCCAGTCGAACTAAGATTCGCTCATTGGCGCTGGAACCAGTTCCATCTTACTCATAATAGTAATACAATGGTGTGGCATTAGCGAAACTAGGTGCGACGCCGGAAAACACACTGACCTGCAGAGCGCCTCTGCACTGCGGCACAGCCTAACTTATAAAGAAAAGCAGCGACTTAGGCGTTAAAGGAACTATCCCACCTTCTAAAATGCTGTTAAAACCAGTTAAATTGTGCCCGACTTTATAGATTGGATGACCAGGAACACGGTTCTGGCATTTATTTTTCATTAAACATCTTAGGCTTCCCATATTCCAAACACAAACTTTCAAATATGTGACGTCACAGCCCAAAATTACCTCCTTCCCCAGGCCACATTACTGTCATAAAGCTGATTCTTTTTACTCTGTAGGCACCACAACAAAGTTCAGACCAAGTTTTAAGCGATTTTTCAACGAACAAACCCATTTAAATCAGAATGACTTAACGAGGTGACGTCACACAAACGGTCGCCCCATGTTGAAGATAGGGCCTTGCGCAAGGCCCATTTTCAAATGAAGGGAACGGATTTCTTCAACACCAAGAGGCCGCGGGGGTGCAACCTAGATAGATAGTGGTTTCTGAACCTCGCCGCAAACTTGGCTATCTCAACTCAAACCCCATGTTAAAGGTGGGATAGTCCCTTTAATTCAGTGTTTTACATTTGAAAGGCAAGCAGTCAGCTTTCGTCCTTTAGTCCCTATACGAACGTTGTAGTCTCCTGAATGTAAATGTTTCGTGAACGTATGTGATCGTCGCATACGAGTTTGCTGATCGTTCTCTTCTATCAGGCGCGGCCGAGGCAGGCGACTCTCGGGATCCGCCGAGGCTCTGAATTCAGCGGGTGGAGGCAACGGCGACACTGTCAGGTGAGTGATGGTGAGTGAGTGAGTGAGTGAGTGAGTGAGTGAGTGAGTGAGTGAGTGAGTGTGAGTGAGTGAGTGAGTGAGTGAGTGAGTGAGTGAGTGAGTGAGTGAGTGATGAGTGAGTGAGTGAGTGAGTGAGTGAGTGAGTGAGTGAGTGAGTGAGTGAGTGAGTGTGATGAGTGAGTGAGTGAGTGAGTGACGAGCGAGCGAGAGAGAGAGAAGAGAGAGAGAGAGAGAGAGAGAGAAGAGAGAGAGAGAGAGAGAGAGAGAGAGAGAGAGAGAGAGGAGAGAGAGAGAGAGAGACCACCTGTTCCGTAAGACTGACCTCCCACTACCCCGCCCAGGCCGTACCGACTGCGGCGAGCCAGCAGTTACGACGAGCTCGGCTCATTGGCTGACCTTCGCCGGCGCCGGACTGGGTCACTGAGGGACCGGCGCGGCCCAGAACGGATATCGCTGTAAGTCGCTTCACCTGAGCAACAGCAGAAGTGTCCGAACCCGTACATACGATAAGCGTCACGTTTTTTTCGATACAATAAGGTCAAGGAGGCCCGTATCCGTAAATATTCAATTGGATAGTGATTTGGATAGTAAAGTAGGATCAATTGGATAGAGATAGAGAAGTAAAGGTCCTGTTTCACTAAATGACGATTTAAATGTTACATGGTGCATACATTTCTTGCAACCTTACAAGTCAGCGTATCGTGGATGACATTTCAACCACTCAATATGGGCCGTCTAAAAGCCGTCCTGCCGTCATCCCAGCCCACAACAAACCGTTACCACTCGTCACCATACGCCCTTTACTGAACTGTAATCACTTCCACTCGCCACCACCCGTTCTCCACCACCCTCACCACCAATCATCACTCGTTTCTACGACAGTGGCGCCAGGCACGGAGAGCCCATCGTCGAGTCCGATGACGAGGGCGACGGGACGCGGCTGCCATCGCTGCAATCCCGACCCGCTGGCCGTCGCCGGGGGTCACTGCACGACAGCGGCCTTCCGCCGCGTGAGTCGAGGAGAGGGGTAGTGAACGCTAGGGAAATGGATAATGGACGTATCGGTGTGCCCCACTATTGTCGTGACGTTTTTCTTTTTTGCCATGTCGTCTGTCCCGTTGGCTCTGATTCCATGGCGTCTGTACGCAATTACCATAAAGACTGTCTTGCAGTTTCCATGGCGTTCATTATTGGCTGTTACCCTGACGTCTGTCCCATCACCACGTTCGTCTGTCTCTTCTACCGTGGGCCCATGGTCCTCACTCCATCATTGAAGCCAGTTTGGTTGCATCTCCCGCTAACGGCTCGTTTTTGTCCCCGCTGCCAGTGCCCTCCATCAGCAATGGACGCAAGTCTCGCTGGTCTGCCCGGCCGCAGTCGGGTAGCTCCGTGCTTAGTTTCTCCCTGCTGCGCTGAGCTCAGAGAGTGAGCTGTTAGCGGAGCGACCGGGGAGTGCTGTCGTCCCGTCCGCGCGGAACGGATAGGGAGGGCGGTCTGGCGGGTGCCTCGGCAGGCAGTGCAGGAGAGGAAGCAGAGAGGCAGCAGGAAGGAGGCTCGGAGGAGACTTCAGAGAGACAGCAGGAAGGAAGTTGGGAGAATCAGCAGAGAGGCAGTAGGAAGGCAGCACAGAAGCAGCTAGGGAGGCAGCTGGTAGGCAGCTGTTGTAGGCGGCTGCCCCTGTAGTGACCAGCATCCCGAACCAACGCATCCGCCCAGAAGCTAAGCCCTGAGAATAGTGATTCTAGATGAACACAACAGGGCAAAAGCAGTGCACATCGATTGGGTCACGCCGCCGAGGTTTCTCTCTGGTGCTCGTGCCTCGTAGCTCCAGCCCGATGCTGGGCTGGAGGCGGTCGGTTTGCTGAGCGGTTTGGGGTGTTTTAGTGGTAACTGGTATCCGGTGCATTGCAATGTCGGCTACCGTCTACCGTCCACACATTGCGCTCGTGACGCTTTGTACAATCTCGATGTATAGCTGTCAATGTACGAATAGTTTCTTGAGTCCTGCAGACTGCAGTTGCGTTCCAATATCGCTATCACGGTCTCCGTCCCCTCAACCCGCCGGGGACGATTTTTCCCCAGGGAAACGTCTGGTGCATTGTGGCCGTGGGCCGACCGGTGTTTTTCAGTCTGCTCTGCAAACTGTAATACCAATGCGGCCAGTTGCCGCTGTATGTGCGTGTGGTCTGAAGCGCTGCTGGGATTCACGACCGGTGGGCGGTTGCCCACCTTAGCAAGTACATTAGGCAGAAAATATTGTGCAGCGTGACATTATGTCATGATGAGGCATTAATGGCGAAACAGTTCAATATGTAGACAGGCTCTCTGGCTACAATCAGTACCGTCAGTGCATCGAAACTGTGATAAGCTATTTATTTTCTTCTAGGGTATAAACACCCTGTTATCCCCTCTTGTTTGAAATATACTTCGTGGTGCACAAATTCTGTTGCTGACACATCATGAGAAAGTGGTTTCCGTACCGATTGGGCACATCTAATTACAAAAGGAGCATTGTCGCTCGCAAAACATTTGCATGGAACCAATCTTACAGGAGCAGCAGCAATTACGGAATAGGTATTTGTGACGTTTGATTGTTATCGAAGAACAATACTTATCTTCACCGTTCCTAACTTATCACGTACCGTTCAGATTTCCTCTCTGTCAGTAAGACATGCAATGGGAAATGTCAACTTACACAACAGTGTGCAAAAAGCAATGTAAAAAGACATCAAAGAAATGCTTACCGTGAAGCGAGCCTTGAACAATGGCAAAAACAATATTAATCACCAGCAAGGATTCTTATGAATGTTTGTCAATGCGATGACGCATAACACCGTCTTACAGTAAGACCCAAACTTGTCAATTCAATCACGCCGCATCATAAATAACGGTGACTTCGCCTCTTGTCAACAACACAACGCCCTTCAGGCTTCAGCACCAGACTGTCATCACACCTCCATCATCTCTGCGCCGCTCACTGTCCCGCCGCTATGGCGCTCGTTCCAACTGTCCGTTCGTCACCCCACTACCGTCCCGTCCACCGGCCTCCTCACTGTCCGAGTTCTGACGCTCGCGCTCCGACGGCCGCACCCACGTGTCCTCAGTCCGGTACGCCCACAGCGAGCCGGCCGCCCTACTGCGGAACACAGTGCGGTAGAAGTGGTCGAAGAAGAAGAGCAGGTCGTCAAACTCACCTCCGTACGTGTCGTGTCGACTCTCCTGCAGCTCTCGGACAAAGTAGTAGACGGCCTCGATGGTGGCCAGGTGGGTGCGCGGTTTGCCTCGCTGGTACCGCCAGAAGCGCGTCTCGTGCTCACGCAGCTGGACGCAGCGCAGGCCGCGAAGCTGGTCAGAGTCCAGCAGACGGCGGCACTGGTTCCATGTGCAGTCGAGGAAGAGCGCGCGCCGCAGCGGCCGACCGGCGGCGGCAAACTCGGCAGAAACGTCGGCCACGGACCCGGCCGATGAATCGGGGAACACCAGCACAGTCTGCCGAGGGAGGAGTAGGTAGCAGTGAACAGAAGGTCGAGAACGGAACAGTTTTGACCTGGACACGGTGGTCGGCGAATCAATTCAATTTAATTTCATTGATCATTGGCAGTACGTCATATACAATTTACATCCAGTCATTTTCCTGATGTGCCCTTATTCCACGGACTTTTGCATCAAAATCACCAAACAGAGTTGAAGTTACTAAACTATGAACCAACACTTTTGCTTACCCATAAACATCCTAGGGATGAAAGAAAATAGGTAATCAAAACCAAAAGCCAAAGCATTGATGTGACCTGACACCAGTCATCCCTACCTCATCTGGGTCGTAGCTGCCCACGTCTGGATACGTCCGCAGCGTGACGTCATCGGGGGCGAGGACGGCAGCATGTACGGCCGTGCTTTTGCCATTCGTCTCACCAGGGTGTTTGACAATCTCCACTTCTACTGGCAACTGCAAATGAACAAAATCATAAGACAGATTCATGACAATTTGGCATCACATCAGAAACAATGCATATTTATTTCAATACCTGTTACACCACTGTAAATCTTGAGCACAAAAAGATATTCATTCATATAGGTATTTGCCACTGAAATCGTAGAGAACTGTGACTATGGATGGCCCAGCTCAGCTTACCGGCACATAAGGAATTTTTCCAGTAAGGGCATCCACTGGTACCAGGCAATTATAGCAGAAGTACATGCGTGACTTGTGACACTTGGGGCATGGCGAGCGCTCAGTGAGACGTTCCAACACCTCTGCCGAACTTATATTTAGGTGCTTGAATGGCTCAGCAGGCTGCAGAGATGTCATATCTGAATATTCAGTGGTCAGGCCGGCTTCTCTGGAACAAAGGTAGGTAATAATAAATTCATAATCTCAAAGAAAGAGGAACAAAATAAATGAAAAATGGGCAAACATGACTTATCCTGCTTCAACTTCAGATGCTCACACTTAGGCTGCTTAATGCTCAGGTATGAAAAGATACCGGTAGTAGTAAAGCAGAGCTCTGTTCGGTTGCTGTTTTTTATCAGCATGCCGTCAGTTTTCTCATATAAGGAAGTTATTGCTGACACTTCTTAGCTGGTCATTGGTCAAATGAATATGAATAGGCCACATGAATTCGACTTACGACTATGATGAGACAAGAAACAGCAGCATGCTCAGTGCTCACAGCCTGCTGATAAAAAACTGAGACTGAACAGCACCCAGGCATCACACTTGTTTTGGCAGCCAAGGAGAGGTGCTGTAGGTTAGGTTATAGAAAAACACGGAATACCAAAAACAACATACAGTACAGGTGGTATTAGGTGGTAGCTTTTGGGTTGTTACGAGCGAGCGAGCGCAGCGAGCGAAGCGAAGTCTTTTCAATATAAGGGAAAAATCTCAGTATGAGCGGCCCGGCCCGGCCCGGCCTGTAACGCTTTTGAGAGGCTTATATCTCAGCAACCGTTGGACCGATTGCCCTGCGGTCTTTTTTTGCTGGGTAGCCCCATCCCTTCTACCCCGTAATTGACTACTTTTGATACATCTCAGTGACCGTCGTGGCACGTGCCACGTGAAAAGTCAAAGGTGTTCAAGCAGTTTTGCAAAAGTAGTGATTTTGAGAGGCCCATATCTCAGCAGCGGCTTGAGCGATTGTCTTGCGGTAATTTTTATAGGGTAGCTGCATCCCTTCTACCAAAGGTCGGATACTCTTGATCTATGTGAGTGACCCCCAGTGCACGTGCAAAAATACAACAATAAGAGGTGTCAAATTTGTTCCCATTTCAATAACTCGGTAATTACTGGGGCGATTTCGCTGAAACTTGGCATACAGGTAGGCACCCACCAGGCAATGCATTCCCATGTGTTGCGGTTAGGGTGCTACTGCACGTGCGCACGTGCAGGGGGCGCTTCCAGATCTCGAGAACGGCTGGGCCGATTACGCTCAAATTTGGCACACGGTTGGGGACCGGTTAGGAGGGTGCCGTGCAAAAGTCAGTTTGGACCCCGTTTGCACGTGCACACGTGCAGAATGCCGCTTCCAGATCTCAGAAACGGCTGGGCTGATTGCGTTCAAATTTGGCACACCGCTAGCGACCGGTTAGAACGGTGCTTTGCACAAGTCCGTTGGAAGTACCCTCTCGCCCTTCCGCACGTGCAGGGCTCACTATCTCGCTCGCTCGTCCTTCGCCCAAAAGGCGTTTTACTGGTAGGTTTTAGGTTGTAGGTATGGTTAGGTCAGGTTTGGCTTGGTTGGATTAGAAAGCATATCTGGGTATAGCACCTCTCCAGTCCTTGGTTGCAAAAAAAAAACACATGCGATGCCTGCTTTATGACTACCAAGATACCTACCTACTATCTAATAGAAACTACTATGGACGTCAAACCCCTTGAGACCCCACTTTTTTGCGATAATTTTGAAATGTGTCAACATTCGTTGACAATATTCTGGCAATGTGTGTTTCAGAACCTGCCGAAACTTTTATTACTAAGGTATTTTGACGCCAAACGATTATGGAAGGTACTTCTCATTCACTCGTAATGCTAAGGTCAATTCAGGCCCGGGCAGAGGCTTGCGCTCGGCCACACTCGAGCCCCGCCACCAGCGCCATCTGCTCTAAATGCCATCTACCAGCGCCCGCTACCGCTACCAGCTACCGCCCACCATCAAGCCTGAATGGAGCGAGAGACGCGAGTGACCGGTCGCCGGGCAAGGAGCGCCGGAGGGGTAGGGCCAAGGTAGGGCGAAGCTTAGCGCTGACGTCATTACGTGGCTCCGCCCCATGAGCGCGTAGCCTCTACCCAAACAGCAGATTCGTTCCGTGAAATTTAACATTACGAGTGAATGAGAAGTACCTTTCATAATCGTTTGGCGTCAAAATACCTTAGTAATAAAAGTTTCGGCAGGTTCTGAAACACACATTGCCAGAATATTGTCAACGAGAGTTGACGCATTTAAAAATTATCGCAAAAAAGTGGGGTCTCAAGGGGTTTGACGTCCATAGTAGTTTCAGAAAAGAGGCTATCTAATTTTCAGCATTAACTACTGCCTAAATTCCAACCTAATGTCCCTAAAGTC